GGATGCGAAGGGAGCAGTATGGGCGGGAAGAGGGAGAGAAGGTGGCACAAAGAGAGAGAGAGAGGACTGTTAGTCAGCAGCGCCAGGCGGAGCAGGAGGGGAAGCCTGAACCCCGACCAGAGACCTTCACAGCCGGGGAGGCGGCCCCGGCCACCGCTGTGTCCCCCCGCTGGGCGTCAGCGTGGCTGAGGGACACGTGTCCTCTGGGAGGAGCTCGTGCCCAAGGGAAAAAGGTCTCTCTCCCCGGAGGTGCCTTCTGTGTCTGTTTTGTTAGTGTCTCTTTGCCCCCCGACGGCCCGGAAGCTCACAGACTCCCTCCATCCTTGAGCCTGGGCTGGCCTGTGGCTGCTGTGTTCAGGGGACCTGGGGGGACCCTGTGCCATGTTCCAGGCTGGGACTCAGGGGGCCTTTGCTGTTCCCATTTTCCCTCTTGGAACCCTCAGAGTCGGCCACAGATGGGGCGGGACGTGGGAGGGGTCGCCGGGGACATCGTGTGTCCGTATACGAGGCACAGAGGTTAAAGACGTGGGGCAGGGGGTGACTTTCAGTCTGAAGGCGCTGCCTCTCCTAGCAGGACCCGGTTTTGTTGCTGAACGTCAAACGCTGCGTGGCAATCCCTCTTGTGTAAACCAGACGAGACACAGGTGTCAAAGCTTCTGTCCTCGAGTCAGCTCACAAGATCGAGGCGCCACGCCCGTGTGCCCTGTGGGTTTGCTCCGGGAACCACGCATCCTGCTCATTTTGTTCTCTTGTCTGGTTGCGTGGGCTGGCGCCTCTACAACTACGCTTTTCACTTCCATCAGAGACTAAGGCAAATTGACACTTTCAGGAAACCTGGGGTCGGAAAAAACTCAGGTGCTGGTGCTGCCAGTTGTAGCAAATCAGATCTCAAACCTCCTCTCAGGACGGGGGGCCACCGACCAGGCTTGGGTAAGTCCGGGGCCCACCTCACGGGCAATCGGCTCTTCTGCCCGGGCCTCTTAGAAGTGACATTCCGAGAAGACTAAAGGCAAATTCCCACCGGCCTTTTTGGAGCAAGGAAGCGCCAACACTGTATCTCAGTCTGTTGCTACCTTCCTTCTTCCCAGGGGCCCTGAAGGGAACTTTGTGAGAAAGCAAATCAATAAAGGTCGAGCCTAGCCCGTGTGGCTCAATGGTTGAGCATCGACCTGTGAACCAGGACATCATGGTTCGATTCCCGGTCAAGGCACATGACGGGTTTCAGGCTTGATCCCTGGGTGGGGTGTGCAGGAGGCAGCTGATCAATGATTCCCTCTCATCATTGATGTTTTCTCTCTCTCCCCCCATCTCCCTTCCTCTCTGAAATCAATACAAACATATAAAAATAAATAAAAGTCTAAAAGTTGATCTACCTGTAAAGTACTCCCTTCTGAGTTCTGTTGTTATTAATTCTTTTCCAGTCAAATCTCTTGTGTGTGTGTGTGTGTGTGTGTTTGGGGGGTGGTGGTCATATGCCATCTACAAATAATGCTATCTCTTTCTTTACAATACTCACACACTTATTTCTTTTTCTTATCTGATTGCATAGGCTAGTATCACCAAAAAAGTGTTTCACAGCAGTGTTGACTGTGGGCATCTTTGTCTTGTTTAAGGAGCGGTGTTTCATCATTGAACTAGAGGCCTGGTGCACAAAAATCGTGCACTGGAGCGGGGGGGGGGTGTCCCTCAGCCCAGCCTGCACCCTCTCAGTCTGGGAGCCCTCGGGGGATTTCCGCCTGCCAGCTTAGGCCCGCTCCCTCTGGGGATCAGGCCTAAGCTGGCAGTCAGACATCCCTCTCACAGTCCCAGGCCCCCCTTGCTCCTTACTGCCCGCCTGCAGCGGAGGCAGGAGAGGCTCCCACCACCGCCGCTGCCCTCATCAGCCTGAGCCTGGCTTCTGGCTGAGCAGCGCGCCCCCTGTGGGAATGTACTGACCACCAGGGGGCAGCTCCTGCGTTGAGTGTCTGCCCCTGGTGGTCAGTGTGCGTCATAGCGACCTGTGTTCTGCCCTCCATCGATTTGCATTTTACCCTTTTATTATACAGGATAGGATGCTGGCTTGAGACATCAATCAACCACTCACTGCGAACACTACTGTGAGGCCGACTGGGGTGCCTGTGTAAGTTCTGCACCTGAGCAGACAACTCAGCCCCGGAAACAAGGCGCTCACACTGCGGGCTGGGAGAGGGGACGCCCAGAACTGCAGGGCCGGGGAAGCGGGTCCTCACCGTCTTTCCAGATCTCCGCCGTCAGCCGGTCTGTGCTCTGGTGCAGCAGGGCCGCGACATTGTCATTCAGAGGGTCCATGTTTTTCATCAGCCACTCATTGGCCTTGTAGTCGACCTGAGTGGAGTCGGGCACGGGAGGGGGGTGAACTTGCAGATTCGGGGACTCTCCTGAGTTCTCCAGGAGCCCCCCAGAAGTTCTGAGGCTCTGGCTCTGGGGCTCACCACCGGAGAGCATTGGTGCCACCTTGTGTCCATCTCTGGAACTGCACCCTCCGCTGGCATGACCCCTCTCGCTGCGCTTCCCTGTCCACCTCTGACCTCGTCCACTTCCTTCCTTATTCATTCCACTCCAGACACACGGCTTCCACGCTGTTCCTCAAACGTGCACCTCGCTTCCTCCTCAAGATTTTACCTCTGCCCCCGCCCGCCCCCACCCCTGCCTGGGAGTCCCTCGCTGTGGCATCTCCCAAGGATGGTTGCTTGGGAGAATTCAGGGTTTTGTTTTGAGGATCCCACAGAGTCACGGT